TTTTACAAAAAGAAAAATTGTTACCGCTATTTCCTGAAAAATCCATAATGGACCAACTCAAATCTTATACATAAGTTCCCTTTGGTCTCTAGTTTTGCCCATTTGATTTTGGGACTGACCACGAAAAACAAAATGGCCGACAGATGGTCATCTTGGATTTCACTTAGTAAAGTTTGTTGTTGCTATTTCTTGAGAAGTACAGAATGGATCCACTTAAATTTCAGACATAGGTTCATCTTGATCCCTTGTGTGCCAGTCTGACTTTGAGACTGATCAGAAAAACAAAATGTTTGAGTACTGAATGGATCTCTCCGATATTATATTTAAGTTCCCTTCTCTTGAAAAAAGTAAGTGTCGGACAGGTGGCCATTTTGGATTTTTACTATGAAGTTTATTATCACTATTCTTTCAGAAAGTACACAATGGATCCACTCAAATTTAAGACTGATCAGAAAAAAATTAAATGGAAATGGCTAACAGGTGGCCTTCTTTGATTTCACAATGAAGTTTGTTGTTGCTATTTCTTGAGATGTACTGAATGGAACTGTTGAGAAAACTTGTGAGATTAACCTGGCAGTGATTCCCTGGTTGCCTCCTTCCATGATTTAGGTAGTTTACCTTCCTACAGAGATTCTTAATATAATTGACAGTGGTTTACTCAACACATCTCTTCAGTTTGATATATACATTTGGATATATTTTCAATAGGACTAGTTGATTTGTTTCTGTCCATTTTCATGAGAGGTTTCCTTATGGTGCATACTCGAATGGTTGACTGGTAGGTGATGATTCTTTAGTAAAGACACTGATGAAATAGGTAGCCAATACTTCTGCTCTGCTTGTTACAAATATGATACAAGTAAAATGTGTCCGAACTGGAAAATATGGTGCCAACGGTAGGACAGTCCGTCGACCAGAGAATTCCAGAGGTCAAGGACATGAGAGCCTGCACTCCGCCACTAGTAGTTGTCCATACTCCTGGTGTAGAGCGAGTGAGATTGATTCTGTGTGTTACAACGATAGTGGGCAGATTAAAAAAACTGTCAAATGAGAAAGTCATAACGCCCATGTCTAAAAAGCCAATGGAACGACTGTCTTGCCAAAAAACATCAGAACAAGAGATATATGCCAAAGATGAACCAATATTTCCAATTGAAAATCTCTCTTCGCGGGAATTAGTGAGTAAAATATTGGAGCGACTTATCAGGTTTTGGGGACACTGAGCATTGACCAGCTGAAGGATTCTGTTAATGCTGATAACCTTTGTAAGGAAGTGAAATGATTGTCGTGTGATGGAACTTTGGAGGGAATGCTTAATGATAACAAAGAAGTGTTTTCTGTGACCCACTTTGGTGGAGAGGTGTATCAGGATGGAGAAGTCATTCATTGGCAGACGTACATATCTTCATGTCTTATGAATTATCGATGCATCATACTATTGCTTCCTCCGTCTAGGGTTTGTCAGTGATAAAAATGTCTAAATTTTGAAGTCTTTGATGTTAATGTAGAAAATCACAATTGGTCAAGGAATCGTCACGAGAAGGTGCACTGGGCCATAATTCCATAAATTTCCTACAAACAGACATCAAGGAAAATGTCAATACAATCACATCAAATTTACTTAAATTACAGCAGATTATGAACAAGAGAAAAACCTACACAGAGATTCCTGAAAAAGAGAATTAGATTAGATGTTCCAGAAGAGTAAGCGTATCTGCTTCATTGAGTCCTACCCTGTAAATCTTGGTCAATCCACGTAGATACTGAATGGATATCAAGTTTCCAACACAGAACAAAGTGAACAATTGAACCAACAGATATACTAACGATCATTAAACACTTTAATGTTGATATATAACTCCAAATTTCAGGGGAACGTCTACTATTCAATCTGAAATGTGTCATTATTCGCAGGAATTAAACGTAGCATACAGGTTATGGCACATCTCAGGAACTAAAGGTCCGCCAATAGTGTCTGCCTCAGTCAAGTGTTACAGCATCCTCAATGATATGTCAAGATATATTATGATAATTTACATTGAAATATCATCTTTGATAGGTTGTAAAAAAGACCCCCAAAAAATCCTAATTCAAATTCCATAAAACTAGGGCGAAATATGAACAAAATAAATATTTACACTGAGACTCCTGAAAGAGTACAAGGGTAATACGACCAAATGTTTTGTAAGAGTAAGCGTCTTCTGCTTCATCGACGACATCCGCCATGTAAACCATGGTCACTCCAAGTAAATAATGTCACGTTCTCAAATAAGAGCAAGGTATACAAAAATGGAACGAACAGGCAAACTAACGAGCATCTAGCTTCATATCGTACAAAGTAACTGAATGTTTCTCAATGAATCACCATGACAACCGTACAACTTTTCCTTATTTTTCATCAACATGCAATTTTTGAAACTCTGTGTTACGAGTTTTTCCGGTAGTTTACGACGTCTTGCAAGAAAGTCAATTGCGACATGTTAGCACCATAGGTTGAGGATACAGGATTATTACTATCGTGAAATGGAAAATTGACAATAGTGGAATTGAAATCATACAACTTGGTGGAAAGCTGCTCATATTGGTTTCGTTGTAGGAAAAGATAAAAATAAGCGGCTGACGAAGCGTTTGGTGTCGGATGTTATCGAAACTATATCGGTGTGACCATTTCTAGCTGAAAATATAAAGCGTTCAAATGCGTTAGTTCCAAGAATCATCATTTCAAAACTTTATCAAGACAATGCAATGAGTTGGTAGTATAGCAAAAAATACTATGACTTTATAATAATGGCTGAGAATTGAAACGATCATTGTCAATTTGCAACTTTCAGACAGGAAATATACAAAATATCAATGATCTAATAGTGGAACCTTATCCGTAATAGTTGTTTCAAACAAGGAGTGCACCGCTAATTCTTCACATCATTTCTCCCATCTCGACAAAAACCTTGATGTTTTCTAAATCATATTCTTTGACAGATTCTGATGGAAATTCAGCAACGATATCAATTGATTCTTTCGTGACTTAAATGTACATGGATGCCGCCAGTAATGACATCACTCGAGAGATGTCTTTCTCTAAAAAAAGTTTTACAAATTGATGACGGAACAAAAATCAGCAGTCATGGTCAAAGTTAGTCACACGATCATTGCTTTTAGAAAAAAATGTACATCAAATACCTTGTAAAGGACAAAAGTTACAGGTTTGTTGGATCAAGTAACTATTTTCAGAAAACCGTAATCAACATTTCAACAGTTTAAATCCTGAATGGAAATCAATCTCGTTCATTTTCAGAAAAATATAAACAACAGTAACTACAATATTGTCTCAGTGACTGTACTACATCTACATTACTGTCTCAGGTAGTAATTGTCCTACCTCTATATCACTGTCTCAGGTAGTAACTGTACTACATCTACATTACTGTCTCAGGTAGTAATTGTCCTACCTCTACATCACTGTCTCAGGTAGTAATTGTCCTACCTCTAAATTACTGACTCAGGTAGTAACTGTCCTACCTCTACATCACTGTCTCAGGTAGTAACTGTACTACCTCTACATCACTGTCTCAGGTAGTAACTGTCCTACCTCTACATCACTGTCTCAGGTAGTAACTGTCCTACCTCTACATCACTGTCTCAGGTATTAACTGTCCTACCTCTACATACATCACTATCTCAGGTAGTAACTGTCCTACCTCTACATCACTGTCTCAGGTAGTAACTGTCCTACCTCTACATCACTGTCTCAGGTATTAACTGTCCTACCTCTACATTATTGTCTCATGTAGTAACTGTCCTACCTCTACATCACTGTCTCAGGTATTAACTGTCCTACCTCTACATCACTGTTTCAGGCAGTAATTGTCCTACCTCTACATCACTGTCTCAGGTAATAATTGTCCTACCTCTACATCACTGTCTCGGGTAGTAACTGTCCTACCTCTACATCACTGTCTCAGGTAGTAACTGTCCTACCTCTACATTACTGTCTCAGGTAGTAACTGTCCTACCTCTACATTATTGTCTCAGGCATTAGCTGTCCTTCCTCTACATTACTGTCTTAGGTAGTAACTGTCATACCTCTACATCACAGTCTCAGGTAGTAACTGTCCTACCTCTACATCACTGTCTCAGGTAGTAACTGTCCTACCTCTACATTACTGTCTCAGGTAGTAACTGTCCTACCTCTACATCACTGTCTCAGGTAGTAACTGTCCTACCTCTACATCACTGTCTCAGGTAGTAACTGTCCTACCTCTACATCATTGTCTCAGGTAGTAACTGTCCTACCTCTACATCACTGTCTCAGGTAGTAACTGTCCTACCTCTACATACATCACTATCTCAGGTAGTAACTGTCCTACCTCTACATACATCACTATCTCAGGTAGTAACTGTTCTACCTCTACATACATCACTATCTCAGGTAGTAACTGTCCTACCTCTACATTACTGTATCAGGTACTCTCCTCTAGGAAAGTTGTATGGTGTAAAAATGGTAACTTTATAAACCCTTCTGACAAGTATATTTACTGGAATGATACAAGTCTGATAACCGGTGATAAAAAATATTGACTTGAATTTCCCGCGTTTTTTAACTGACGAATCACATCATTCTTTTGATTATGTATTTTGTTACTGTTTAGTTTGAATAGAAATTCTGATTGAAGATAGGTTCAACGGCATTGATGTCCGTCTTCCTGTTTAACTGGTGTCCCAATAGCCATACAGTCGAAATTTAGTGACACTTGACGCGATTTGGTTTCAACTTTGGACAGCCAAATAATTATTTATTGCTAAAAATGATTCTTTTCATGTTTTATAAACATGGGTTTTATGTCCTAAATGTCAATTGAATTGGTTCTAATGTCATGTTTTGATACGCCTATGGTGAAACATAAGTGTACTTGGTTACCGAGCAAAGTCCCTATTTAAGGTTTGTAAAACACATCCCTAAGTAGACTATCCACCGCAGTAGTATAGTGAACTTCCTGTCAGGCTCTTGACATTGCCCTAGATGTGTTCTAGCCGAGGAGGTAGGGCTTCAGGGAAGGGAGTGCACGGCACAAAACAGTGGCTGGCAACATGACTACCCTCTACGTATTGCAGGTAGGAAAACTCCAGTTCTGGCTGGTCAAACAGTCTTTTAGATATTTAAGAGCATTATAGTCATATTGTGATTATATTTCAAATTATATCGATTATCAATTTAAATTTCTACTTAAGAGAACAGTTGGAATCATTTTAGTCCATCTGATAAATGTTGCTGATTTGCAGAATTTGATTTACAAATAGACTTCATGATTTACGGTTAAAATGATTTTGTACCTTTGTAAAGATATTTGATCATCGCTGTCATTGAAAAAAATATCAAGAATTATTCTTCAACAAAACTGATATCATGAACTAAACTTAACGTAATACATAGGACTGTTCCGGTATTCCTTATAATAATTTATTCAAGCTTTCTAAAATTTTATAATTTTACTAATATCAGTAACCAAGGTATTATGTATATCAAAGATCAATACATCTAACACGACAAATAAACAGTTATATGATATATAGTACAACAATGACAGACCTATACGATATCTATAACACGACAGATAAACAGTTATATGATATATAGTACAACAATGATAGACAGTCCTATACGATATATATAACACGACAGATAAACCATTATATGATATAAAGTACAACAATGACAGTCCTATACGATATCTATAACACGACAGATAAACAGTTATATGATATATAGTACAACAATGATAGACAGTCCTATACGATATCTATAACACGACAGATAAACAGTTATATGATATATAGTACAACAATGATAGACAGTCCTATACGATATCTATAACACGACAGATAAACGGTTATATGATATATAGTACAACAATGATAGACAGTCCTATACGATATCTATAACACGACAGATAAACGGTTATATGATATATAGTACAACAATGATAGATAGTCCTATACGATATCTATAACACGACAGATAAACAGTTATATGATATATAGTACAACAATGACAGTCCTATACGATATCTATAACACGACAGAAAAACGGTTTTATGATATTTAGTCCAATAATGATAGACAGTCCTATACGATATCTATAACACGACAGATAAACAGTTATATGATATATAGTACAACAATGATAGACAGTCCTATACGATATCTATAACACGACAGATAAACAGTTATATGATATATAGTACAACAATGATAGTCCTATACGATATCTATAACACGACAGATAAACAGTTATATGATATATAGTACAACAATGATAGACAGTCCTATACGATATCTATAACACGACAGATAAACGGTTATATGATGTATAGTACAACGATGATAGACAGTCCTATACGATATCTATAACACGACAGATAAACGGTTATATGATTATGATATAAAGTACAACAATGACAGTCCTATACGATATCTATAACACGACAGATAAACGGTTTTATGATATATAGTACAACAATGACAGTCCTATACGATATCTATAACACGACAGATAAACGGTTATATGATATATAGTATATGATAGTCCTATACGATTATATAACACGACAGATAAACAGTTATATGATATATAGTTATATGATATATAGTACATGATATATAATGACAGTCCTATACGATATCTATAACACGACAGATAAACAGTTATATGATATATATGTAGTCCAACAATGATAGACAGATACAACAATGAAGTCCTATACGATATCTATAACACGACAGATAAACGGTTATATGTTATATAGTACAACAATGATAGTCCTATACGATATCTATAACACGACAGATAAACGGTTATATGATATATAGTACAACAATGATAGACAGTCCTATACGATATTTATAACACGACAGATAAACGGTTATATGATATATAGTACAACAATGACAGATAGTCCTATACGATATCTATAACACGACAGATAAACGGTTATATGATATATAGTACAACAATGATAGACAGTCCTATACGATATCTATAACACGACAGATAAACGGTTATATGATATATAGTACAACAATGATAGTCCTATACGATATCTATAACACGACAGATAAACAGTTATAGTCCTATACGATATCTATAACACGACAGATAAACGGTTATAGTCCTATACGATATATATAACACGACAGATAAACGGTTATATGATATATAGTACAACAATGACAGTCCTATACGATATCTATAACACGACAGATAAACAGTTATATGATATATAGTACAACAATGACAGTCCTATACGATATCTATAACACGACAGATAAACAGTTATATGATATATAGTACAACAATGATAGACAGTCCTATACGATATCTATAACACGACAGATAAACGGTTATATGATATATAGTACAACAATGACAGTCCTATACGATATCTATAACACGACAGATAAACGGTTATATGATATATAGTACAACAATGACAGTCCTATACGATATTGATAACACGACAGATAAACATTTATATAATATATAGTACAACAATGACAGTCCTATACGATATCTATAACACGACAGATAAACAGTTATATGATATATAGTACAACAATGGTAGACAGACCTATACGATATCTATAACACGACAGATAAACAGTTATATGATATATAGTACAACAATGATAGACAGTCCTATACGATATCTATAACACGACAGATAAACAGTTATATGATATATAGTACAACAATGATAGACAGTCCTATACGATATCTATAACACGACAGATAAACAGTTATATGATATATAGTACAACAATGTTACTTTATGATATACAACATATCACATATAAATGTGTCTATATAATAATTTTCCTTAATTACATTGAACGTTTCAATGACATGGTATAAATAATCGATATATCACTGATGTGGTAGATATTCTAGAGATATCGAATCTCATTATTATTGATAGCAAACAATTCAGATAAATTTGCGATGTATAACATCTCTTTTTTATAGAATATCATTGATAACTTATGTGCAGTCTTCGTCTTCGAACACGCTTTGTTCTGGAATTCATTAAAAAACTTTTACTTACAAACAATGTAAGGTATTTATACATTGCCAAAATATAAAATTTTTGATTGTGACAACCATGATTATGCGCAACATTCGACATTTGTTATAGTCAAAGTTCAAGTCCAAAACGTTTGGCCACCTCTTTGTACTTTTTCGTGGGTTTTTTTTTTTTTTTTTGTGAATCTTTAGCTTACACAAGCTCTGGTAAGCTTTGTTACTGTATATTCATCCGCGTGTGAACACGAAAGGATGTTGCAAAGAAAAGCACTGTTGGCCCTATGGATAGGTCACGGTAGAATCACCTGGATACCATGCTCAACAAAGACATTCGGAAAGAAAATGCTCACAAAAGAAATGCACACATTCAATTATTTTTGAATCACGAGAAGATACAAAGACAAAATGAAAAATGTCCTGGAAGAAGATATGCCGACTTCTTGGAGATAAGCTAAACTTTCATGATATTAAGTGTAGAATAAAACCTCAAATTAAGCAGGTATATCAGGGAAATGGCGGGCTTTTAATTCAATACCTCTTTTCGGAATCGTCAAATACAAAAGAGGCACTCCGAGATCAGTGAAGTTCAAAAGGCGGAAGTATAAGCTGACACCTATATAAGCAATGAATAATGTATAATCAGGTTTACTTTTCTAGTAGGAGCATTATTCTGAAAAAGGGATATATGAGAGACTGTTCTCCGCTTCTATTGTCTATCTAGATTTTGCTGTTGTGTGGAGTGGTAGGGGGCCAGGAACTGGCTGCTTTCAAAAAACTCGACATGTCGCCTTACGATTTGAACACTTTGGAACAGTACACCAATCTCACCCTCGATGAAATTTTCACAGCAGCACTTGGAGGCATCAATGGTATTTATTCTTTAATGAACTGATATCCCGTTGACTGGACTCAAATACAGTAACAGTAGATTAACAAAAAGTAAAAACAGACCAGCAGAATGTATAACACGTTTGGTATTGAATCAACTATCACTTAGTAACGTGGCTTAGTTAATCGAAATATCTCCCTGTATCTTTAATGGCGAACACAAGACAGGCCATTTAAAATCATTTCTAGATTTTTATTAGTCTGTTTTACAAACCGTCCTTTTTTTAATGATTTGCATTTTTCTTCATCACTGTATGTCTTCCTCGTTGAAGCTATTTATGTCCTCGTTGACACGTAGAGAAAAAAATATTTGGCAAAAACAATTTGAGCCACGTGATTTATCTGAAAGAGGAAAAGCGAAATTTCCACATATTTTGAATTCATGAGGTACACCATTTAAACTCAACAAACTATTGCATTTTATTTTTTTATCAAAACTGTATAAATAGCATACAAGTGGATAGCACCTGTTGATGCTGATTTAGAATTAGATACAGTAAAGATAATTAGTGGTCTAAATAGTGTCATGGCGGTTTTTTCTCCCGCTAATACTCAGTGATGCTAACCTAAGGGCGACAGAGGCAAATAGAAAATTGGTCAAAAGAAATACAAAACCCAAAAATATAATGGGAAGTTTCAAACTAAACCTAACAAATTAAGCCTTAGAATCACCAGATATTAATTTCTTTATATGAAGATTTCTAACGACCTTACAAATTCGAATGCAAATTTAATGACTTTAGATTTTAAACATGAATTAAACGCGTACATTTGATGCCATAGCTTATCCGGAATATTAATTTCTTGACGCGATGTATTTGTGGATTTGGTTTTTTAAGTTACTGGTTCAAATACGTTGTTCTTGAATTCCCATTTCTGTTACTCTTGAAATAGTTTCTGCTCAGAAGATGGTTGGGCCTGATGGTATGTTCCTGGCAGAGCTCGACATGCTGCTGACAGAAGAGCAATTCCGTAACATGTACCAACCACCAGAATAGTGAGGCCTAATCCTAGTATTGCTTTTCCACCCTTTTCATGTTTAAGGTAGAATTAATGTAATTTCACAGCGGAAACTATCGTTTTAAGATAATAGTTGAACATTGTTTTCGCAAGGCTATTCATACGGGAGAAATGTATCTATAATTCACTATTATAAAAAGGTAAAACAAATATGATTTAAGAGGATAGAAAAAATAATCAAAACAGAAAAAAACAAAAGGTCTATTTGGTGACATCTGTAAAGCTCCTGTTAAAATGACTATTTGCAAACCCTGCCTGTATATGTGTCTGTTAGATTGTGTTGTTCATTTTAAAAATTCGCATACACCAAACATGTTTTCCTATTTCATAAGAGGACAAGGAATGATTTCAAAGATTTTATTAGAAGTAAAAACAAGATTCTGTTTATCAAATAAGTTACGGTTGAATGATCGCAACATCATTTCCAGAGTTAGATTTGGGCCAGATATCAAAAGTGATATCGTTTTGACATTCAGCTCCTTCCTTAAGTTACTTCTCTGCAATCACAATGAAGTTAATTTCTTAAAGTTGTGACGTCCAAAAAAACCGATGATCAATAGGCTAGATGTTATGAAATTTATTTTTCTAGCATGATAAATTTCAAGACTGATATAACACCGAAAACGCATTCCTAAAATATTTTGTGAAGTTTGCTTTGATTTTTGAAGTATTTTAACATCTTGCACAAGTGTTTCATATTTCTACAGCGGTTTACCTTACAAACTTAAACGGTTTTCAATACAATTTTTAAAAGATGCATAAATTATAATTGTATTGATTTTTGTAGTGGGGATATCAAGATGATGCCATATTTTGAACAAAAGAGAAAGAAACGAAAAGCAGTGAGACGAATTGACCTTCGCTGGCCCAATGGCGAAGTACCTTACTACCTCACACCGGGTCATTTCAGTGCGTATCCCGCAAATTTGTTACTGTCGTCGTCATTGTTGTTGTTGTTGTGTGTTGTTGTTGTGTGTTGTTGTTGTGTGTTGTTGTTTGTTGTTGTTGTTGCAGCTGCTGATGTTGTTGTTGTGTGTTGTGTGTTGTTGTTTTTGTTGTTTTTGCAGCTGCTGATGTTGCTGTTGTATGTTGTTATTGTGTGTTGATGTTGTTGTTGTTGTGTGTTGTTGTTGTTGTTGTTGTCGTTGTTGCAGCTGCTGATGTTTTTGTTGTATGTTGTTGTTGTGGTATATTGTTGTTGTGTTGTTGTTGTTGTTGTTGTGTGTTGTTGTTGTTGTGTGTTGTTGTTGTTGTTGCAGCTGCTGCTGTTTTTGTTGTATGTTGTTGTTGTGGTATATTGTTGTTGTGTTGTTGTTGTTGTTGTGTGTGTTGTTGTTGTTGTGTGTTGTTGTTGTTGTTGCAGCTGCTGCTGTTGTTGTTGTATGTTGTTGTTGTGTGTTGTTGTTTTTGTTGTTTTTGCAGCTGCTGATGTTGCTGTTGTATGTTGTTATTGTGTGTTGATGTTGTTGTGTGTTGTTGTGTGTTGTTGTTCTTGTTGCAGCTGCTGATGTTGTTGTTATTGTGTGTTGATGTTTGTTGTTGTTGTTGTTGCAGCTGCTGATGTTGTTGTTGTATGTTGTTATTGTGTGTTGATGTTGTTGTGTTGTTGTTGTGTTGTTGTGTGTTGTTGTGTTGTTGTTGTTGTTGTTGTTGTTGTTGCAGCTGCTGATGTTGTTGTTATTGTGTGTTGATGTTTGTTGTTGTTGTTGTTGCAGCTGCTGATGTTGTTGTTGTATGTTGTTGTTGTGTGTTGTGTGTTGTTTTTGTTGTTTTTGCAGCTGCTGATGTTGCTGTTGTATGTTGTTATTGTGTGTTGATGTTGTTGTTGTTGTGTGTTGTTGTGTTGTTGTTGTTGTTGTTGTTGTTGTTGTTGCAGCTGCTGATGTTGTTGTTATTGTGTGTTGTTGTTGTTGTTGTTGTTGTTGTTGTTGTTGCAGCTGCTGATGTTGTTGTTGTTGTTGTTGTTGTTGTTGTTGTTGTTGTTACCGCCGCCGTCAATAACACCTACTTCATCTTTTACAGAAGCGAAAGAGAGATACTTAATTCGAGTTGCTATGCGCGAGTGGGAAAAGTACACGTGTGTGAGATTCCGTGAAGCAACATCTGAAGACGTTAATTATGTCCGATTCCAAAACGGAGATGGGTAGGTAGATAAAGTACATAATTTTTATTGTCAAATTCTTCCGAACAATATTTCTAAGGAGTCGCTCTTTGTGAATATTTTTCGGGCTGGCAGAGAAACAATCCAAAAAATTGATGAAGTAATATATTTATTAACGTGATAATTGTTTTGAAATGTAATCTCGAGAGTTGTAGTATGTCTTTCTGTATGCGTTATTATCCTACATTTATACCATACCGGAAGTAGTGAACAGTTTCCGTCGAACCGTTATAAAAGTTTTGAGAAATTGTGTCAAAATTGTTCATCATATCAGAAAGAAATTTCATCAAACAATTTCGAAACTTTTTAAGATTGATGAAGTTTGAAGTTTGTGAAGAAAGCCATGTGCGTTGTTACTTCCTTTGTGTCGCATAATTCAAAATGCGTAGTTGCAAAGCAGTTATCTTTTCTCCTCATACTTGACCTTCGTATATCTTCCCATAACGAAGCGTGAAAGAGTGATGTTGTCGACAGTCTGACACTGTGTTCTCAAGAAATATCATTTATAAGCAATTCTGCGTCGGAACATCAAATACAAAATTGTAATTTCTCTTTCGCTATTTGTCTTAAACAAATTTTCACATAATAGCATTTGAGTAGATAATTGCTCTGTATCTGATTTCTGTATAGAGCCTTGGACATATGTCAAATATGAAATGTGTCAGCGAAAGATGTTATGCACATGTGACAGATAAGAAATGTATTCGAGAAATGAAATATACATACGAAAGAGATGGGATATTTATGAGACTGATGTACATTTCATAATGGAATTCCATTGTATTGTACCGTGTTTTCTCTGACAGATGTAACTCCCAGCTGGGTATGGTAGGTGGAGGACAACTTCTGAACCTGGATCAGAACGGATGCCGCTGGGTAAGTCGACTCTTGTCATAGCGTGATACGATTTCATTCAGGTTCGTCACGTCAGTAGCATAGAAGGGTAAGGTTTCGTGACCTTCAGCTGACAAATGACCTTTGTTGAGCGTGCTAGCACTGATGTACGTAATGTACAAGGTGGTGAGGATTCGATAAACTAACTTTTGTTCGCTTGTCTGATGAAAATGGCTATTTAGTCATCGAAACGTCATTGTCTAATCTTCTACTGGTTGTGTTATAAGATGAAGGTGACTGTGTATTCATCGAAACGTCACTCTCTAATCTTCTACTGGTTGTGTTATAAGATGAAGGTGACCGTGTAGTCGTAAAAATGTCACTCTCTAATCTTGTACTGGTTGTGTTATAAGATGAAGGTGACCGTGTAGTCATAAAAATGTCACACTCTAAACTTGTACTGGTTGTGTTATAAGATGAAGGTGACCGTGTAGTCATCGAGACTTCACACTCTAATCTTGTACTGGTTGTGTTATAAGAATTTCTGTATACAGCTTGATTTAAGCTATTTTTATATAGCAAGTTAGAAGTGGAATGAAGTAATGCGTATAGACTCCGAGACCATTTATCTCTAGAATCTGTTTTTTATTCTGTCTATAATAACCATGATTCTGACATTACTCAAAATCCGTCAAAATTTTGAATTGTGTTACCATTTTTTTACACCTACAGAAAGGACTGTACCTTCATGAGATTGGGCATGCGCTTGGACTAGTCCATGAACATCAACTTCCAAACAGAGATGAATTTATCGAGATTCTTTATCATAATGTAGCACCGAGCATGCGCATATGGTTTAACAAATACTCGACACAGGAAGTGAATCAATATGACGTCCCTTATGAGTATTCTTCTGTGATGCACTATGGAGTCACGGTAAGTACGAATACTTAACAGCGCATGCGTATGTGTGTGTGTGCAAAGAAGTTTCAAAACCAACTGAATATGTGTATTACTGTTAATAGTGTTCAGCGTGGTAATTGTACCAGCACTGACATACATGCTATGATGTTGACGCCTTTTCGATAACCTCCTATTTTTCCTAAGATATACCATTAGGTTTAAAGAGGAGTCCTGGAGAAAGAGTTGTATGGTACAATTTACTTCATTGTTGAGTGCAATTTTGTCTAATTCTAAGTACGTATTAAGATTTGCAATCTTCTTGTGTGTTTTATGTACAATGATAAGAACAGAATTGATATGATATAGCCTATATTTATTTTACAACATTTGTGAAACAAGCTTTAAGCGTGTACTAATCACTTGGCCGGGACCTCCTACTCTTTAACATTCGTGCCGGGAATCGAACACAGGACGTGTAAGTGAACGGCGACTGTGTTACAACTAATTAACCAGAGTAAAGTACTAGGAATTGGGCGCATGCGTCCACACCAATTTTACGCGGATGGGGACAATGATATGTATTTTAGCCATGTATCCGCATGGAGTCCGCAATAATATAGTTTGCAGAACAGGTCATTATGCCATCCAGTTTTTGAATTCTAGTATATATTTGCTAGACATTCTCACAGAACAGTAGGTCTCAAACCATTCACCTATAACATATACTTAAATATTTGCTAGGCATTCGCACAGGACGGTAGGTCACAAACCATCCGGGCTAAGGACCCATCCAAGGAAGAGACCATTGGCAAAGTATGGCGAAAGGAATTGTCCTTCACTGACATCAAAGCGGTCAACCGGATGTACGAATGCTCAGGTATCATATATATACATGCTGACTCAGACATGTGATACTAGAAGACAAGAACATTGTAGAATATGGCACTGAATATATAGCTATAGTGGCACAATTCGGAATATATACATGTAATTACTGTTGTTCTGAAATTATGATAATATATGAAAATTACAAAACTTATTCAACTATTGGGTAGTGCACCTTCCTATATAAATTTTGACTTTTCGTTTGATCACTTTGAATTTTCCGTAGTCGCCTCCTAGGCAACAAATTGTAGACCCTTAGCATCACATCTGTCTTGGGTAATAGTTGATGCGCTCTCTAACATATGTCTCGGGTAATAGTTGATGCGCCCTTTAACATCTGACTCGGGTAATAGTTGATGCTCTCTCTAACATCTGACTCGGGTAATAGTTGATGCGCTCTCTAACATCTGACTCGGGTAATAGTTGATGCGCACTCTAACATATGTCTCGGGTAATAGTTGATGCGCTCTCTAACATCTGACTCGGGTAATAGTTGATGCGCTCTCTAACATCTGACTCGGGTAATAGTTGATGCGCACTCTAACATATGTCTCGGATAATAGTTGATGAGCTCTTTAACATCTGTCTCGGGTAATAGTTGATGTGCTCTCTAACATCTGTCTCGGGTAATAGTTGATGCGCTCTCTAACATCTGACTCGGGTAATAGTTGATGCGCTCTCTAACATCTGACTCGGATAATAGTTGATGCGCTCTCTAACATCTGACTCGGGTAATAGTTGATGCGCTCTCTAACATCTGACTCGGGTAATAGTTGATGCGCTCTCTAACATCTGACTCGGATAATAGTTGATGCGCTCTCTAACATCTGACTCGGGTAATAGTTGATGCGCTCTCTAACATCTGTCACGGGTAATAGTTGATGCGCTCTCTAACATCTGTCTCGGGTAATAGTTGATGCGCTCTCTAACATCTGACTCGGGTAATAGTTGATGCGCTCTCTAACATCTGACTCGGGTAATAGTTGATGCGCTCTCTAACATCTGACTCGGGTAATAGTTGATGCGCTCTCTAACATCTGACTCGGGTAATAGTTGATGCTCTCTCTAACATCTGACTCGGGTAATAGTTGATGCGCTCTCTAACATCTGACTCGGGTAATAGTTGATGCGCTCTCTAACATCTGACTCGGGTAATACTTGATGCGCTCTCTAACATCTGACTCGGGTAATAGTTGATGCGCTCTCTAACATCTGACTCAGGTAATAGTTGATGCGCTCTCTAACATCTGACTCGGGTAATAGTTGATGCGCTCTCTAACATCTGTCTCGGTTAATAGTTGATGCGCTCTCTAACATCTGTCTCGGTTAATAGTAGGTGCGCTCTCTAACATCTGACTCGGGTAATAGTTGATGCGCTCTCTAACATCTGACTCGGGTAATAGTTGATGCGCTCTCTAACATCTGACTCGGGTAATAGTTGATGCGCTCTCTAACATCTGACTCGGGTAATAGTTGATGCGCTCTCTAACATCTGTCTCGGGTAATAGTTGATGCGCCCTTTAACATCTGTCTCGGGTAATAGTTGATGCGCCCGTTAACATCTGACTCGGGTAATAGTTGATGCGCTCTCTAACATATGTCTCGGGTAATAGTTGATGAGCTCTTTAACATCTGTCTCGGGTAATAGTTGATGCGCCCTTTAACATCTGACTCGGGTAATAGTTGATGCGCACTCTAACATATGTTTCGGGTAATAGTTTATGCGCCCTTTAACATCTGACTCGGGTAATAGTTGATGCGCTCTCTAACATCTGACTCGGGAAATAGTTAACGCATTCTTTAAACAATTTTGCTATAAAATGGATGTCTCGCACATTGAACACTGGAAAAGTTGCAGATGGTGTTCTCTTTGAAATCCGACCAGTTAGGATTACCAATACAATGAACAATGACACTACGGAGTATATATTTTCAGTGTATATCTTATCATCTACCTCTATATATTGTCCAGCGGTATGTCCGAGAGTTGTCCGCTGCCTGGATGGCGGGATTGTTGACCAGAATTGCCGCTGTATCTGTCCGGATGGTACCTCAGACTGTCAAGAAAACATTAAGTCCAACAAGCCCACGTTAGACAGTATGTAAATCATCTGTTTTTTTTTCACTATATAATCTCAAAAGTACTGAAAAATAGAGCATATCATGGCACTTCATCATAGGATCTTAAAACAATATATATGATTTCAGTCTTACCCTAGAAGTATTAAAACATCGTTTCGTTTTATCTAGTTATATATCTATACGAACGAACTTCATTATCTCGAAGTCGGCGGGACCGAAGGAAAACCTTGAGTTATCCGAGTGAGTTGGAATGTTAAGTGTGAAATTTGATTGCCACCGACGGAATACTTCGAATTAAACGTGCCTTTGTGTTATACGAGTACGAGATAAAGAAGTTCGACTGCATGTGCATTACGTGTCATTAATCCATAATAATATCCGGTTTTGTTTATGGTGATAGTTTTCTTATATCGCGAAGCTAATATCACGTGGTTGTCTTGTTTTGGGTTAGTTCAAGGAATTTAACTCGCGTTGGTTTATCAAGTATTAGCTATGTATACATATGGGAAACACGTCTGAAATTGTGATTCACTTTAAAAATGTTTTCTGGGTAATTGATTTTACGCTGTATGTATTTTCAATTACCATGACAATAGTGGAATGTAATTCCCGCGAATTCTACCGACAGTCATATCCATGGAACATAAGGGTATTGAAATATCCAATCCCTCTTCGGATTCATATGAACGAAAGAAAATAAACATGAAGTCTTGCTTGAGTATGCAATGAAAATATCATGAAATAATATCAAAATAATAATTCTAAAAATATTAGCACAGAGTTAAAAAAAACCTTCCAACTACATTGTAACTTTGACACCATCTTTGAGAATACAAGAATATATCACAATAGCTACCAAACCCATGTCAATGAATATAACACTCTGTAAAATTTAAATGTTGTGTTTAAGCATGTCGGAATGAGTACAACAGTTGGAGCTGTTACATCTGGTCCACACAAGGAGAGTGTAAACTCAATACCAAGTTTATGGAACGCTACTGTCAAAAGGCGTGTGGCTTGTGTGGGAAGGAAGGAGCGAATACGGAAGGTAGAAAATATTTCATAAGAATTTGTGGTTAATGATAAAGTACCTTAAAATACTTTACAATGGCTCGTGAATTTGTGATAAATAACTAAGTACACAACATACTTTCTATGATTTGTGTAAAGTACACAACATACTTTCTATGATTTGTGATTTGTGTAAAGTACACAAAATACTTTCTATGATTTGTGTAAAGTACACACATTCTTTCTATGATTTGTGTAAAGTACACAACATTCTTTCTATGATTTGTGTAAAGTAACTAACATACTTTCTATGATTTGTGTAAAGTACCTAACATACTTTCTATGATTTGTGATTTGTGTAAAGTACACAACATACTTTCTATGATTTGTGTAAAGTAACTAACATACTTTCTATGATTTGTGTAAAGTACACAACATACTTTCTATGATTTGTGTAAAGTACACAACATACTTTCTATGATTTGTGTAAAGTACACAACATACTTTCTATGATTTGTGTAAAGTACACAACATACTTTCTATAATTTGTGTAAAGTACCTAACATACTTTCTATGATTTGTGTAAAGTACACAACATACTTTCTATGATTTGTGATTTGTGTAAAGTACACAACATACTTTCTATAATTTGTGTAAAGTACCTAACATACTTTCTATGATTTGTGATTTGTGTAAAGTACCTAACATACTTTCTATGATTTGTGTAAAATACACAACGTACTTTCTATATTTTGTGTAAAGTACCTAACATTCTTTCTATGATTTGTGATTTGTTTAAAGTACACAACATACTTTCTATAATTTGTGATTTGTGTAAAGTACCTAACATACTTTCTATGATTGATGATTTGTGTAAAGTACACAACATACTTTCTATGATTTGTGGTTTGTGTAAAGTACACAACATACTTTCTATAATTTGTGATTTGTGTAAAGTACCTAACATACTTTCTATGATTTGTGTAAAGTACACAACATACTTTCTATGATTTGTGGTTTGTGTAAAGTACACAACATACTTTCTATAATTTGTGATTTGTGTAAAGTACCTAATATACTTTCTATGATTTGTGTAAAGTACACAACATACTTTCTATGATTTGTGATTTGTGTAAAGTACACAACATACTTTCTATAATTTGTGTAAAGTACCTAACATACTTTCTATGATTTGTGATTTGTGTAAAGTACCTAACATACTTTCTATGATTTGTGTAAAATACACAACATACTTTCTATAATTTGTGTAAAGTACCTAACATACTTTCTATGATTTGTGATTTGTTTAAAGTACACAACATACTTTCTATGATTTGTGTAAAGTATCTAACATACTTTCTATAATTTGTGTAAAGTATCTAACATACTTTCTATGATTTGAGTAAAGTACACATTTTGTCTTTGAAATAGTTCTATTTTACTGAAATTCGATGTTCAAGAAAAAAGTAAATGTCAACAAGATTTTGTATTTAACATCCTTTAGCAAATTTAACTTCCCGTGTAACTAAAAGACAACTTCTAAAATCAACATATTTTTGAAGACTTTTTTTCACATCCAGAGAGTTGCAATTTTGGATATCAAATATTGAAATTAAAATGAAATCAATAAACTTACATGTGTAACATTTTGTAATACAGTTTATAAATACAAAACAATTGGTAATTTAAGGGAATCATGTGGCAACATGGGCTTGGCAGTGGTTAGGGATTTTTACCAATCTCTACCCAAAGAACTGGACTGTTGGTATGCATAGCTTTCATTTTTTTTTATGCGTCTAAGTTTTCAAAATGATATGACGTACCAGCGATGGAAGCAACATTTGGTCATAACCTGTGCTTTTGTCTGTAGATTAAAAACTGTTCCCAGGCGACTGACAACAAGACAAATTATTAAAAAAAATAAATAGTTATGTCTCTAAAATGTAGTTTTATATTTCACGTTGACAATGAGATTAGGTTTCTCATCACATTTAAAAGCCTGCTATTCTTTACCAGGAAGCAAAAGTCATTTGTAATTGTCAATATAAAATCCCATTGTACTGCAACAATAGGCATTTCGGAGATATAAAATGTTTGACATCATTCAATATCCTTTGTTTCAAATGTGTTAGGATTTTGCATATTACAGAGGAGTGTCATAATAAGTATAGTGATGATAAGTGTGACAGCTGGGCAAAAAATGGCGATTGTATTGTAATGGAAGATTGGATGAAGATCAACTGCAAAAGCACGTGTGGCATGTGTTCTAACAACAACACGGCAGCTTCCGGTAAGTTTTAAGTTCAAAAGTACGTGTCATTATATCCTCACGGATTCTTCCCTGTAATATCATCATTTCTTTTGTTTAATCTTGTCTTCATATTTGCCCTCGTTTTAATAAATTTGATTTTGGATTATGACACTTTTGGCATGTTTTTATTTTCTTGATTGTTTTTATCGTCCTGATTCTGCTGCAATCAATAGTACTTTTAATTCTGTGTATTTTTTCGGCTGAGGCAGACTTTGGCTCGTATGTTGATGATATTGGGTCATTCGTCCTTGAGTGTTATATACAAAATTAAAGTGGTACACATTAAAATGCTAACTTCAACATTAAAACCATGCATCTATGATCAATGGCTATGCATGGACAGCCTATATCTTTGTGTGCTAATTATCACCGTTTATTTACGCGAAATCTGCTACCATAGCAACAAGCTAACAATGCTAATATAAATGTTACTTTTCCATGCAGAGAATTGTGGGAATGTACACACCAACTCAACCCAGTGTAATATCTGGGCAAGGAAAGGAGAATGTCAAGTTAACCGAAAGTGGATGTATAACAACTGCCGAGGGTCGTGTCGCCTATGTGACAAGGCGATGCCAACAGACGATGACACACCCCTTAGAGACGAGACTTCCGACAGGGGTCAAAACGATGACCGTAAGTACTTTAAATCCGTTATATTTTCCGTGGATTTTATTTTCGCCTCACCACACGCGGAAAGTCAATCGCGAATTCAAATGCCTCATGATTATTTGAACGAAAATATCATTCATACTGAATTGGATACCGATTTATAAATCATTTGCGAATTTAAAGTCAATTCCAGATCACCGTTTCCGAAATCATGTATTCGCGAATATGCCTGAAGACGTTAGGTCGCGAAATAAAGTATCCGCGAAATATCAGTGATTAACAGTAGCGTAAACAATTATCAATTATTCTCATATATCGCACAACAGCATATGGCACTGTCAACAGATATATTCGCGCACAATTCAAATCATGGTGAGCAAATTCACTTATTTCAAATTTGGTGGCATTTTGGAGCGGTTCGTGGTATACAAATTCCTTGATTGAGAGTACAGACAGAAAAGGGGGTTTATGATTGAGGGTACAGACAGGAAGGGGGTACAATGATTGAGGTTACAGAGAGGGAGGAGGTATTATGATTGAGAGTACAGACAGGGAGGGGGTACAATGATTGAGGGTACAGACAGGGAGGGAGTATTATGATTGAGAGTACAGACAGGGAGGGGGTAATATGATTGAGGGTACAGACAGGGAGAGGGTATAATGATTGAGGGTACAGACAGGGAGGGGGTATTATGATTGAGAGCACAGACAGGGAGGGGGTATTATGATTAAGGGTACAGACAGTACAGACAGGGAGGGGTATTATGATTGAGAGTACAGACAGGGAGGGGTATTATGATTGAGAGTACATACAGGGAGGGGGTATTATGATTGAGAGTACAGACAGTGAGGGGTATTATGATTGAGAGTACAGACAGGGAGGGGGTATTATGATTGAGAGTACAGACAGGGAGGGGGTATTATGATTGAGAGCACAGACAGGGAGGGGGTATTATGATTGAGAGCACAGACAGGGAGGGGGTATTATGATTAAGGGTACAGACAGGGAGAGGGTATAATGATTGAGGGTACATACAGGGAGGGGGTATTATGATTGAGAGCACAGACAGGGAGGGGGTATTATGATTAAGGGTACAGACAGGGAGGGGGTATAATGATTGCGAGTACAGACAGGGAGGGGTATTATGATTGAGAGTACAGACAGGGAGGGGGTAATATGATTGAGGGTACAGACAGGGAGAGGGTATAATGATTGAGGGTACAGACAGGGAGGGGGTATTATGATTGAGAGTACAGACAGGGAGGGGGTATTATGATTGAGAGCACAGACAGGGAGGGGGTATTATGATTGAGAGCACAGACAGGGAGGGGGTATTATGATTAAGGGTACAGACAGGGAGAGGGTATAATGAATGAGAGTACAGATAGAGAGGGAGTATTATGATTTAGAGTACAGGCAGGGAGGGGGTATAATGATTGAGAGTACAGACAGGGAGGGGGTATAATGATTGAGAGTACAGACAGAGAGGGGTATTATGATTGAGAGTACAGACAGAGAGGGGGTATAATGATTGAGAGTACAGACAGGAAGGGGGTATAATGATTGAGAGTACAGGCAGGAAGGGGGTATAATGATTGAGAGTACAGACACCTAGGGCGTATAATGATGGAGAGTACAGGCAGGAAGGGGGTATAATGATTGAGAGTACAGGCAGGAGGGAGGGGGTATAATGATTGAGATGATTGAGAGTACAGACAGGAAGGGGGTATAATGATTGAGAGTACGGACAGAGAGGGGTATTATGAATGAGAGTACAGACAGAGAGGGGGTATAATGATTGAGAGTACAGACAGGAAGGGGGTATAATGATTGAGAGTACAGACAGGAAGGGGGTATAATGATTGAGAGTACAGGCAGGGAGGGGGTATTATGATTGAGAGTACAGACAGAGAGGGGTATTATGATTGAGAGTACAGACAGAGAGGGGGTATTATGATTGAGAGCACAGACAGGGAGGGGGTATTATGATTGAGAGTACAGGGAGGGGGTATTATGATTGAGAGTACAGACAGGAAGGGGGTATTATGATTGAGAGTACAGACAGGGAGGGGGTATTATGATTGACTGTGAGTACAGACAGGGAGGGGGTATTATGATTGAGAGTACATACAGGGAGGGGGTATTATGATTGAGAGTACAGACAGTGAGGGGTATTATGATTGAGAGTACAGACAGGGAGGGGGTATTATGATTGAGAGTACAGACAGGGAGGGGGTATTATGATTGAGAGTACAGACAGAGAGGGGTATTATGATTGAGAGCACGGACAGAGAGGGGTATTATGATTGAGAGTACGGACAGAGAGGGGGTATTATGATTGAGAGTACGGACAGAGAGGGGGTATTATGATTGAGAGTACAGACAGGGAGGGGGTATTATGATTGCGAGTACAGACAGGGAGGGGTATTATGATTGAGAGTACAGACAGTGAGGGATATTATGATTGAGGGTACAGACAGTGAGGGGTATTATGATTGAGAGTACAGACAGTGAGGGATATTATGATTGAGAGTACAGACAGAGAGGGGTATTATGATAGCAATTTGATCAAGCAAGTGACGAATTCTGAATGAAAATCCATCATACGCGACTTTTTACAGTAAATAATATATAATATTCTGACTAGACTAAACAGAGCTCGGACATTTTACCAACAATGTGTTCATAATCATGGCTGTTAGCACTGAAGTTTGAATTCCTTTTATCGTCTGATATGCCCTCTGATGTCCTTAAGGCTAATACCTATGTCATTTCGGCTGTGTTCCTGTTGGATAAATGGATTCGCTGTTATTTCTAGCCCAGGGTTGTCGAGATAGGCACAACACCAGAGAATGCCTCAAATGGGCTAGTAGTGGCGAATGTTCTCGTAACCCAGACTGGATGGTTCCTAATTGCCGGAAGTCATGCAGTAGGTGTGAGGACGGTAGGTTCATTTCTGTTTTTATTTAGTTGAAATATAAATTTATTAAATCATTCGACAATATTGCACACACATTACATCATATGTGGAATAGGAGAACAAAAAAAAAAAAACAAAAAACAAAAAAAAGAAAAAAACAAGATAAAAGTATTGGTTTTATTTATTTTCTATGTACACTGCAATGTGAAAATTGATAATCGTACTAATCAACAATTTACATATTCACATATTTACTGAAGAGGATTGTTATCATGATTCGTGACATGTTGTTTGTCAATAAATACAGGTTACATGATATTGCTATGTAGTACACGATACTACAAAAACGATTTTGTGTTCAGGAGGATTCAAACTTAATTATGGGAAGGATATTCTTTCACGTTCAACATCAAAATGTTGTCTCCATAAAATAATATGACATCGTAAATTATTTGCCATCTGAAGGATCCTGCAAGAATCTGTACGACGACAGGAAATGCCAGGTATGGGCCCGGGATGGTGAGTGTATGAAGAATCCAAGCTGGATGCCGGTCAACTGTAAGAAAGCATGCGGTCGATGCGATGGTAGTACCAGAGATGACAATGAGGCAGAGGAAGACAACGACGATTGGGGAAACGATGATGTAGATACTGATGGTATGTGGTATAAGTCTCTTGGGTATGTCGGGTTTTAGGATAGAGATATTTCACCCGAGGGGTCACAAAATGTCATAAAACCCGAGGCTTTGTCGGGGTTTTACAATATTATGACCTCCATCCAACCTTCATCCCTTCAGGCACATTCAAATCATGTTTTATCTATCTGTTTGTTTATTTTTCCTTTGATTCTTTTACTTCAAATCTCTGTACCAAAATAATACGTAACAAAGTGTCACGCTTGCTATTATTATACTGGCATATCCAAAGTTGAAAGAACTTTAGCCAGAAAACTCAAAAAAGGTAACTTTATGGCGCATTAAAATCATCACACAACATAATTATAATCAAACACATAACATGCCGCAAATTCCTTATAAGCACAATAACAAACGGGATTTCAAATTTTTCCACCGTCGATGTGACAATCTATGCAAGGAATCCGTTACGAACAAAATATATTTGTAATGGTTGTCCCTAATTATCAGCGACGACTTCTACTTAGAATTTCCATGGCTATTTGGTTCTACAAGTCCAAAGAAATGACGCGTTGCTCCGTGTTATGATCCAGTGACGTAGCCAGGATCTAAAGTTAGGGGGGGGGGGGCAAAAATCTGGCAACGCCGGCGAAGCCGTGCGTCGCGAAGCTTTGGCGAGGGGTCCCCCAGAAAAAATTAGGCTCCATTTCCTGCAACCCCCCACCCCCAATAAACAACGGATTTACCCGTTTCACAAAAGTGACCTCTGGGACAACTTCCTACGCCAGTGGTGTTATCTGGAGTCACGTCACTTCTGAATAAGAAGAATCAATATGCAATCAGCAACCAATATTCTCAACTAACGAAAAAGATGTTGTAATCATTAGAGGTTAGTATATACTTTTAGATAAGATTGGTATTAAATCTGCGGTGATATCTTTATCATACGATTGCTTTCTCTGTACTACGGAGATAACATCCTTTATCATTCTCTACAGTCCTGAAGCATTCCGAAGTAATTTGGTTGGTCTAGAGTGGGTTTTAGTAGAAACATACTGGATATTACAAAGAACCGACAGCGAACTCCCACCATTACAACATACCGTTATACGACCTCGAGATTGGTTTGATGTACACCAGAAGATCAAAGATTTCTCATCCATAAGGTGTTGCACATGGAACCTTTAATTTTTGTCATGGAATGTTTCAAGGTTGTAGAGAGCGAAAGTGACCACAACGCCTGGAATATCTAGGACGATAAGATTACCATGCGGGACTACCTTTTTCATCTATTCTAGGGTTTCAAGTTATCACTGTTAGTGTTTGATTAAACTTAAACGCATTTTTTGTTTCAGATAGCGAAAACCTTATACGAATGTAACTATAAGTAATAAGCAGTTCCAGGTGTAAAAATACATTCGGTAAATACTATTTGGGGGATAACTTTTCGTGTCTCCGCAATTGGTGTCATTCTATTTATCTGTCACCCAAATTTTATTCACATCGACAACTTTCTGAAAAGAGTTTATTGTTTAAATAAGCTTGTAGTGTTTGCCCGTTACAGACGGCTGCAGCAACTACCATAATGACAATGATTGTGAGACCTGGTCTAAGAATGGTCACTGTGAAATCAACCCAGGATACATGAAGACTCACTGTAAACGATCATGTGGAGTGTGTGCAAGCACTCGTGAAGACGATGGTAACAGAGATGGAAACAACGGCCGCGACGAGAACATCGATAACGAAGATGACAGAAGAAACCAGGACGATGAAATAGATATAGACACACAGGACGATGGTGGTACCACTGAAACGGAGGAAGGAGAAGTTGAGGAAGATGACGAGAAGAAAGTCGTTGTTACTAATGAAGACGATGAAACGGAAGATACGGAGGGCACCACGAAGGCACCACTAGGTCTGTCTGACTTAATATTTGTTTTTATAATTAGTATAATCACGACTTCACTGTGCGGGACATAACGTCATTTACAATGAATATACATTAACGTTTCCCAATCAAATTGAAAAATCGCAATACGTTTCGAGTGTTTATTGAGTAAAAATAAATATTAGTTAAATAAATAAAATGTTTCTTATGCAATTTTAGTAAATGTGGCGAAGTGACTTTCTGGAAAATCCCGTAATTAAATATATTCTATTAAAAACTACGCTAGTTTAGGAGAAAGCTGAATACGTGCCCGATTACATTAAACAAAAAACTTTGTTACGATTGGCGTAAATCCAGTAACAGCTAGCAAGACCAGTATGAGATCACAATCCTATTGGACCAAATGCAATAACAATGTCATCATTACCGCTGTCGTCCAATCATATTGTAATTGAACGGTGATGTGTAAACATGGGCAATAATTGTGTTCCTATATCTTACCAGACTGTGTAGACGAACATGAAAGTTGTGAAGCTTGGGCAAAAGTAGGCTACTGTAGAAACAATGCCGGCTACAGTCTAAGGGCCTGCAGAAAGGCGTGTAATAACTGCAAAAAAGGTAAGACACCACAAAACTTCGGCTTTTGAAATGCTGTTTTTTTTTAAATTATTCTTTTCACCGCTGTTTCTGAAGATGGAATAAACCGCGAGAAACATATACTTTGAAAATGGAGTTTTTAAAGAATGCATTAGTCGGTTTCATCACCTCTGCGAAAAGCATTAGTTCAAGGCATTATAAAATGTTGACCAAAGAAATTATAGCAAAAATATTAAAAATCACATGAAAGGCACTAGTGATTGTCAATATTCGAATTTCAAAGGAGCCATTTAATTGATTACACTGCATCATACAGCTTTTACGGCTATCAAGACTCTTCGGTGATATCACCTTATCACTATTAATTTTTTCTAAAAACATTTTTTTCAGGATGCGTTGATGAACACACCCTGTGCTCAACGTGGGCGAAAGCCGAACAGTGTGGTTCAAACCCGGGTTACATGTTACGATTCTGTCACAAATCTTGTAAACTCTGTTAGATATATCATGAGGTGAGAGAAGCACACATTGACGGATATCATTATACGTACGAATGATATATTTATCGGGACCAATCTTCTCAACACTGACTGGATTATTGTTGAAATGTTTCCGCATTTATCTGCTGCTGGATGTGTCTTTTTCAATATGACATGTAATAAAGTACAGGAAGTTAATACTATAATCATTCGCTATTTGTGATATTAAAGAACATTGGTTAAATGTATGTTTTCATTAAGCAATTAAAACTTATGCCTTTTTCTCGAATATTATGTTTGTTATGCATATTGACTTACTCCGAAAGACGAAAAGTATTCTTTAGCGCCAAAAACACTTCGGCAAAATGATAATGGGATTCCTCTCCTGGTTATTATGATTGCTCAGAAATCACCGAGGCGTCCCCACAGGAAACCATTTAGAGCGCGATGTTTAGTAATCGTTTTTCACTTTTGGCAGAATTCGTCATCAACCAAAAAAAGGATTCAGCCAAATTTAGAATATTGCCTATAAAAAGTTTTCCTCTCCATAAGATAATTGTAAACTATTATAACGATTTCTCCGAGATGTTTAGCGAAATAAAATGATAATATTGGGAAAATCTTGGAACAATAACGACTTTAGCTAATGTCCTTTTCTTATTTATACATAAACCCAGACTCTCTTTCCATATAGTTAGGGTTTTAGGGCATGTTTCACAAGATCCCCGTGATAGGCGTTGACCAATGATTACTACAGCTAACATTAAACAGACTATAGGCAAATTCATGTTCTCGCAATATCTTTGAAATCGGCAACAATGGTTTTGACAAACAGAACGGAGGAAGAAAAACCTGACACTAGAAAATAGCTGTATATAGCCCATCAATTTTAAGGTGTTTGCAGGGATAATTCGTTACGTAATCAAGGATCAGTGATCACGTGTCGTCTCTCTGAACGCGACTGCGTCAATTGCACCCCATTGATGAACGTTCTGACTCAGTGTAGTAAGAAACGATGGTCAGTGAATGACTTGTTTTCCTCATTTCTTTAAAAACAAGGGTCACCCTGTCTGACATCATCACATTGGACACCAAGGACAAAGTCTATGGCCTCTGTTCACCTCTGTTACTTTGCCTCATAAGACACAGAAGTCAATCTTTAGACCCCTTACAGGCAGTTGTTGGACTGGTCATCTTTTTCAAAGGTCAGCATTTTACGTCATTTATTATGAATAACGTCATAACTTTTACTTCACTTCTTTGTACATGAGGAAACCGAGGTAGAACCACGGATCTGTGGTTTTGGTTCGTCCGTTGATAGGTTTGAAATCCTGTATCTCCACTCTTTGAGGATACGCAATTTTTTCAGCCTTGGAATACATAGCGCCAATCATGTATTGCTCAACGCTTATAAGTCCTTTGTTTAAAAAACGCATCACACTCTGTTTATATTGCTCTGCAAATCTTATAAACACATCGCGTTCGCCCAGAAATACGCCAGCGCCTATCCAATTCATGCTAAGTTTAATAACTGTCTTAGCAGATACCGAATGTTTCGAGTTAAATATTTGAGTGGCGGCAATTCTAGTTTGGTCGAATTCTGAAGGAACTTCCAACCAAAATTTATTGGTAGCGTTTTCAATTTCTCGGAAGTATCCGATATCTACCCATGCAAAATATTTAGATGTATAAATGTTTCTTTTGGCAGCATCAGCAATGATCGGAAACTTTGAATGTGTAACACAGGTGTAATTTGGAACAGTTGTATAAGGCTTGTGTTTGGGGTATTTTGGATTTGCGAAGATTTGTTCAACTTTCGGTTTAATTTGAAAAGACCATAATATCTCACGCGATACGCGGATGACTTTTGTATTTGACGTCACATTTTGTCTGAGATCTAAAAATATTTGCTCGAATTCTTCACTATCCGTATAGAAGATAACAGGATTCTGTATCCAGGCAAACACCCGTATCCATTGTTTGTACTTGTCTGGTCCTCGTGAAGATTTGCTCCCTCGGGGATAGTTTCCAATGTCGAAGAAAGCAGTTACTACAGTCAAACTTCGGTTAGTGTTGAACCATCGGCCAAGGTCATTCACATTTCTCTGGTAAAATAGTAAGAATTTCTCTTTAACTTAGGCTAACAAATTATAGTAAAACTAAAAAACTATATATACACAGTTGCTGTAACATTGTGTCAGTTGTTTTTCCAGTAAACATGAAACATCTCTGATGGATGGTAGTTCCCTGTAAACATGAAACATCACTGATGGATGGTAGTTCCCTGTAAACATGAAACATCACTGATGGATGGTAGTTCCCTGTAAACATGAAACATCACTGATGGATGGTAGTTCCCTGTAAACATGAAACATCACTGATGGATGGTAGTTCCCTGTAAACATGAAACATCACTGATGGATGGTAGTTCCCTGTAAACATGAAACATCACTGATGGATGGTAGTTCCCTGTAAACATGAAACATCACTGATGGATGGTAGTTCCCTGTAAACATGAAACATCACTGATGGATGGTAGTTCCCTGTAAACATGAAACATCACCGATGGATGGTAGTTCCCTGTAAACATGAAACATCACCGATGGATGGTAGTTCCCTGTAAACATGAAACATCACTGATGGATGGTAGTTCCCTGTAAACATGAAACATCACTGATGGATGGTAGTTCCCTGTAAACATGATGGATGGTAGTTCCCTGTAAACATGAAACATCACTGATGAATGGAAGTTCCCTGTAAACATGAAACATCACTGATGGATGGTAGTTCCCTGCAAACATGAAACATCACTGATGGATGGTAGTTCCCTGTAAACATGATGGTTGATAGTTCCCTGTAAACATGAAACATCACTGACGGATGGTAGTTCCCTGTAAACATGAAACATCACTGATGAATGGAAGTTCCCTGTAAACATGAAACATCACTGATGGATGGTAGTTCCCTGTAAACATGAAACATCACTGATGGATGGTAGTTCCCTGTAAACATGAAACATCACTGATGGATGGTAGTTCCCTGTAAACATGAAACATCACTGATGGATGGTAGTTCCCTGTAAACATGAAACATCACTGATGGATGGTAGTTCCCTGTAAACATGAAACATCACTGATGGATGGTAGTTCCCTGTAAACATGAAACATCACTGATGGATGGTAGTTCCCTGTAAACATGAAACATCACTGATGAATGGTAGTTCCCTGTAAACATGATGGATGGTAGTTCCCTGTAAACATGAAACATCACTGATGGATGGTATTTTTTTTATTAAACATATGTTTTTGCATACAGTTATCTTACAACAGAATTGAACATAAAGCTTAAAAAAACAGTATTTTTCTTCAAACGATATGGATACGACCAATACACCGATAAAACCTCTCACACAATCTATATATATATATAGAGAGAGAGAGAGAGAGAGCATATGATAGCTTTGATGGAAATAGAGAGGTAGAGGGAGACACCTAGAGACATGGAGTGAGATAGAGTATAAGAGAGACACCGCTTGCTGTTGCTCGTATAATTTCGAATCCGTTTTACAATAAAGGTATTTTCCTCTTTGTAGAGTTTTATTATCTATTGATTATGTATTTTTCAACTGAATGCACATGACTGAATTTAACATTACAAACATGTAGTAACAGGAGCTCTTAAGTATTCACTCGGACTATCTTAAGGTATTTTGAGGATACGTGTAACGTTAAATATATATTTTAATCTAAACGAAATTTATAAATAATCTCAATTTGAAAACACATTATCTTTAATATCTAAGCACACAAAATCAGGAGAAGGAGTAGGAAGGAGGAGGAGGAGGGAGGAGGAGAGGGAGGAGGAGGAGTGAGGAGGGGGAGGAGGGGAAGAAGGAGGAGGAGGGGTAGGAGGAAGGGGAGAAGGAAGAGGAGTAGGTGAAGGAGGGAGGAGGGGGAGGAGGAGGGGTAGGAGGGAGGAGGAGGGGTAGGAGGAGGAGGAGATGTAGAAGGGAGGAGGAGGAGGGAGAAGGAGAATGAGGAGGAAGGAAAAGGAGGAGGAGGGTAGAAGGAGAAGGAGGGAGGAGAAGGAGGATGAGGAGAGTAGGAGGAGAAAGAGGGAGCAGGAGAAGGAGGAGGAGGGGGGAGAAGGAGAAGAAGAAGGAGGGAGGATGGGAACTAGGAGAAAAGAGGAGGAGGAGGGGAGAGGGAGGGGAAGGAGGGAGGAGGAGAAGGAGGAGGGAGGAGGAAGGAGGAGGAGGAGGGAGGAGAAAAAGGAGAAGGAGGGTAGGAAGAGGAGGAGGAGGGGGAGGTGAAAGAGAAAGATGAGGGAGGAGGAGGGGGTGAAGGAGGAGGGAGGAGAAGGAGGAGGGAGAAGGAAGAAATGGAGGAGGAAAGAGGAGGAGGGATGACAGATGTAGGACAATTTTGATAAATATACACAACATGACAGATGTAGGAAACCCTGAATAAATATACACAACATGACAGCTGTAGGAAACCCTGAATAAATATACACAAATATGACAGTTGTTTTTCTAAGAAAATATGTTTGAAAATAGATCAATATTGGTGAAAGAAATACTAAAGAGGACATTGGTTTGTATCGACATAACTGAGTACAAATACTTACGATTTCTGCTTCCGACAAATAACTGAGCATGGTGTCGTCTGTGCTGAGTGATGATGCTGTCGTCTGGAGAATAATACTTTCCTTTACAAATATATCTTTGATTGGACAAAATTAAAACTTCCCAGACAGTAAAACCATGATTCGCGTAATAATTATGATATATTTCATATAGAACAAATAACTAAAATAAGGATAAAATGTTGAAAAGTATAACACTTTTAATAATATTAAAATATCATGATATGGCATTTATTCTCGATATAAATGACACAGCTTTGCTGGCAAATATGATAAACATTTTAGTCAGAGTATTCTTCCCAAAGGTATTCATCTATAATTATAATAAATTTCATATCATGACAGTTACAACTGCTTTACTTAAAACACATGTTTGCTCTGGAAATAGATTTAGTTTATACAAAGTTTTATTTTTTGAAATAAAAAATAATAAAACATAATTTTGGCAAACAATTGACTTTTCACTGCTGACTCTATTCATCCCCAGACATATTACACAGGCATTACCTTTGAGTTGTTTTTTGGAGCTTCGTTCTGAATATAACTGTTTGATGAAGTGAACATGAACTGCGCCTGCACTGCAGGTTGTGGTTTACTTGTCTGTAAATTAAATAAATAACATGTGCATTTCTTACGTAAAAAAAACATGTCAGAGCAGGTAATTGTGATATTGATGAATTTGTTGCAGATTCCTGGTGGAACTACTCTAGATCCGATGGTTTCTTTGGGAACTGCGTACAAATTAGGAGGAATTAAGATCGTTTGCATATTTTTGAGAAACAATGTTACAATAACTACACTTATAGAATTATAAAAATATTTCACTCTTATACTCTGTTAGTATTTAACTCTGACGTCATCATTGTAGCCTCGTTCTGAGCAGGTGTGGGGTTAGGTATGGGATTTGTTGTTAAGGTGTGGGGTATTGGGGTAGGTATGGGGTTTGTTGTGTGGGTGTGGGGTATTGGGGGTAGGTATGGGGTTTGTTGTGTAGGTGTGGGGTATTGGGGTTAGGTATGGGGTTTGTTGTGTAGGTGTGGGGTATTAGGGGTAGGTATGGGGTTTGTTGTGTCGGTGTGGGGTATTGGGGGTAGGTATGGGGTTTGTTGTGTAGGTGTGGGGTATTGGGGGTAGGTATGGGGTTTGTTGTGTAGGTGTGGGGTATTAAGGGTAGGTATGGGGTTTGTTGTGTAGGTGTGGGATATTGCGGGTAGGTATGAGGTTTGTTGTGTAGGTGTGGGGTATTGGGGGTAGGTATGGGGTTTGTTGTGTGGGTGTGGGGTATTGGGGGTAGGTATGGAGTTTGTTGTGTAGGTATGGGGTTTGTTGTGTTGGTGTGGGGTATTGGGGGTAGGTATGGGGTTTCTTGTGTTGGTGTGGGTATTGGGGGTAGGTATGGGGTTTCTTGTGTAGGTGTGGGGTATTGGGGTTAGGTATGGGATTTGTTGTGTGGGTGTGGGGTATTCGTGGTAGGTATGGGGTTTGTTGTGTGGGTGTGGGGTATTGGGGGTAGGTATGGAGTTTGTTGTGTAGGTATGGGGTTTGTTGTGTGGGTGTGGGGTATTTGGGGTAGGTATGGGGTTTGTTGTGTGGGTGTGGGGTATTTGGGTAGGTATGGGGTTTGTTGTGTGGGTGTGGGATATTGGGGGTAGGTATGGGATTTGTTGTGTAGGTGTGGGGTATTGGGGGTAGGTATGGGGTTTATTGTGTACTGGTGTACATGGAGATGTGTGCATTCTGTAGATAGACCTAGACATTGTATAGAACTGATCATTGCTGCTTTTCCATCTGTGATATTTGGCAATTGTGATATGTGACGCTACAGAGACTTTAGGTGTAGAATCGTGTAAATTGTATGGTTTGAAAGCTTAGTGTGAAACCTAATGCATGTTCGGATGAAATGTGAGTGAGTGTTATCGTACACGGTAAAACAACAAAACAAAAAGTGTTGTAAACTTTGTAACTAGTGTAATATATTTGTAAATATTTATCGTTGTTGTTGTTGTTTGTGGCAATTGCTCGGCTAGGTTACAAAGGTAAACACAATACAGTCGATATGTCTCGTTCCATACCAATGGACGTACAGATTGTATAATTGTGGACACGAGTAGTATACTAAATTCTCTATACTTCTGTATAACGTATTTTTTTCGCTGTTTACAAATTACAACACAAGACGTACGATACAGCAATAAAGTTTTCCCAACTTCTATTAATCACTCTTGTTGGACCGGATGGAGGCGCGCGAGGGGTCTTACTGTGGATGGAAATCCGATAACCCGGGGAAAACCCACGTGATCGGACAATTCCGGGAATCGAGCCCCAGACGACTCCGTTAATGCAACTGTGTTACCACTGCGCCACCCGACCATCCCGGGATGTCCTTCACTAGTAACGTTTCAAAGACGTTTGCGTTAATATATCATGAAATAATTATGTGTAAAAATATTCTTAGATTTCGGTCAATTTACGAACGTTAGGAAAATGCGAGAATTTTGTATCAACAGATAAATAACGTACATGCTACTAGGAGGATAATGTACTGAAAGGTACATCTGTATTTCACTTGACGGTAAAGTACATGTTTTGAAGGTATTTAGAATATTTGCGATAACGTTGTATTAGTTTAGTTATATTTCCTATTTACACTTTTTTCTTTCCATCACACTTTAAATTTATTATTGCGTTCGTGATTATCATCATATCAAAAGTCTGAATGAATGAAAAAATGAACAGAAACCAAAGAATTTCTTAAAATGACTTCAAGGATAATGCCAAAGGGATTCGTGAATCGGTGTGAGCTCTTTTACTGTTTATATTTATCAAAGTATTGATTTTTTTCCTAATTTCTTTCATGATTATCTTTCTGTCTCTGTTCTCCGTTTTGATCGTGTTGTCGTGTATTTGATGACTGTCAATCCTCGTTATACACGATACATTAAAAAATGATGATTTCAACAAACAAACGAAACAGATTGTCGGTGACTTGAGAGGCAATGTACGTTTAACATCATATAGTGACTGGAGTTAGATTGTGTAAATTTGTATCCGCGGGCATGTCCGAAATATGAAACACCCGCTGACCACTTCCGGGTTACACGCTATCCATCAAAAATAACAGCGCTATCGAATATTAGCCGCGTTTCATCACAAATAGCCACTATTCAGTTGGATTGACGCCCAAGTGAGCTTTAATCCTGTAAGAGAACTTCGTCCTCGGTCCTATAAGTACACTGTATAGGCGCTACCAAAGCTGTGTCCTTTGTATATGAATTCTTTTCGTGTCAACTTTAATTTCTCTCGTTTGTCGTACTTATTCCGGGTTTGGATTTAAGGGTTCTCATTCATTCGGATTTAAGGAAGATGTACTATTGTTAACTGATTTTTGACAAGTTTTGTTTTTCTTTTTATTTCATTTCAAAGTACCTAATTTTCGCTCCTTCCTTCCGTCTTTGAAAAGAGATAGAGAACGTGAAAGTAACATTTTTTCGCAGTTCTCAAAACGGCTACATATCTGTCATATCTGGTATACACTTGGGTCTTAATGTGACAGAATGGAAATCGTAGCAGTCAGGTGAAAGTGTCAGATATTGATCAGGTACAGGCTGCCTCAAGGTGAGAGGCGAACACCCTCGGGACACTCATTTTCTTCATATTATTACTCTTTTATAGTTTTAAGATCAAATACATATATAAATGGAAAAATACCTAAAATTATTGAAATCATCTTGATACTTACATCATTGTTTGACACGCTGAAAGGCTTCAGGAAATCGAAGTAGTGGAAGTGGTCAGCAGTGTACAATAGTATACAAACTGTAGGCAGCCACAGGACAGTCTTTCGAAATTTTACCATTGTAATTCGCTCCCGCTATAACGAAAAGAAGCGGTTCAAACATAGTATTTCCGGATTTACATTTGCATCATATTCCGCATATAACTACACACGGAAAGAAGGAAAAAAATATATACTTTTATAAAATTGCATTGTAACACAAGTATCATCGCCAATCGTCGGAATATGAAATGTACAATTATTTATATGCACGAAGGCCAATTACGGTTACTATCAATTACAACCTATGTTAAATAGAAAACAAAAACAAAGTATAAAAGTTTCTGATATTTCTACATACAACGCATAACTATCGAAGCAATAGATTCTAAAGCATTCAAACGTCCGAGCTGAGATGAGTGTTATTCTGTACAGTTACATGTAACTTCTTCATATGAATTTTTAAATTTCATTTTAGAAAAGGCATACCTTAGAGCTAATATTGAGCTTGCAAGAAAACTTCCTCCGTGTAAAGCGTTAGTATAAAAACTTCCTCCGTGTAAGGTCAGTATGAAATATTACCCCAGGTGCACTGATGTATGCAGCATAGCGTCAACACTCACTTGGTCCAGCAAATCTGACGGTCGACTGACCTGTGTGGCCAAACGGAACAACTTCCTGTTTATAACCAGGATGTTTTGTTTTTCCCATTTGAAGGCACCACGCTGACACGTTTATACATCTATGGCTGACACAGTGACAGTTTCATTTCCAAACAATGTAATTGCATTAATTCATATCGTGTTTTAAAATAATATGAATTAACAAGTTAATTTTAAAATGCTTGTAGTTTAAGTTATTAAACTTAGTCTATGTCAGTAATAATGTATGTATAGCTGTCATGCCATCTGTACCAAATATAGAGGTTTGGTAACCATGGTTACGTTCCCCCCTTCGAGGACCCCTAGTCTTATCTTATTAGGTATAACTTTATAGCATTGCGTAGTTGATATGTACCTCATGAATGATGCTGATTGGCTGTAAGTACTTGACCAGTCACGTGATCTAGGTCCAGTCTCATCTTTCAGTTAAGTTGAGAGCGATAGCCATTCTTTCTTCAATTCTACCAATTTTCTCCGATCGTTGACTACTTGACCACTACTTTGTACCATTTGGATTTAGGGACCATAAAACTTTGTGAGCTTATAAAACTTTGTACTCAGTTGTGACTACACTATGTACTCATTTCAAGTATTGTTAGATTGATAAACTTTCGTGAGTGCGATAGTGTCCATTATGGCGGAACGCCGAGCTAAGAACCAAACAAACTTCTGGTGAATCTGTGGACATGGGAAATGGAACTGGAGTATGTCTCGGTTATGACATGAACTGGAGTATGTCTCGGTTATGACATGAGCTGGAGTATGTCTCGGTTATGACATGAACTTGGAGTGAAAAGCATAAAATCTTCACCGACTTTCACGTTAGCTACTTTGATTTTTGTTGTTGGTGAATTTTGCGGCTCATTGCCATCAACAGTTAAACCTAAGATACTCTACTATTAAGCTGTACTTGTGTGGTATTCGCCATCATTTCCTATCATCAGCTGTAGACTGTCCTCTGTACACCCAGGACTTCAACTTCGCTCGTCTACAATTAGTCATGAACGGCATCAAACGTATGGATGTGAGTCCCAAGTTATCTCGGTATACAGTGACCTTCCTAGTGTTACATTCTCTCTGCACACGACTTCGGAAAGGAGTTTTCAATATCAAACTGGACAGACTGATGGAAACCGTTTGTGTAGTTGCTTTCTTCGGGGGTTTGCGGTATGGAGAATTTACATGTAAGGGTACTTTAGATCCTACGACCAATTTATGTGTAGGTGATGTAACAATAGCTGTTGATCATACTGTATTGTCATTAAAGAGGTCAAAAACTGACCCTTTCAGAAAAGGTGTTCACATCCGATTGTTCTTTACTTCTAAAACACTGTGCTCCAAGTGCGTTTTAGACAAGTATATACGTTCTAGACATCAGAAGTGTGTCTCCTCAGCCGATGCATTGTTTGTGACGGCAAATGGACAACCATTGACAAGAACTGTGTTTATCAAAATGCTGAGGCATGTACTTTCACTTTGTGGTTTAGATAAGAAAACCTTGATGTAAATTAAATCTGGTATATCAGCCCTGATAATATATTTGGTTAAGGTTATACCATATCTGTCTTGGCTGAAAATCATCAAAAACAATTTCATTTTTTGTTATTTTTTTGTTTCAGAGCGTCCACCTTGATGTAACCTACCATGCATACAAGACCAGTAAACCTGAAAGTAGAGTTAGTTCCCTTCTCAAGTTATTCATCGATCAGTGCAATAATCTGCATTTAGAAAACACTAGCAGTGTAAAACAAGTTTAATAACCTTAAATTGGTCCAACAATTCCATCACTCCTTTTTCTTTTATCCATTTGAATAATCAGCTGGTTAATTATCGCATTTGGCAGTTCACTTGATGCTTAATCCTTAGGTCTCCCTGGAATTAGATCCAGTAAGTAGTGTTCAGCTTTTTCAGGGACGTTCCTGGCTCTTTAAACTGTTGTTTCGTGTAGACTGGATCATTTAAACTGTTGTTTCGTGTAGACTGGATCATTTAAACTGTTGTTTCGTGTAGACTGGATCATTTAAACTGTTGTTTCGTGTAGACTGGATCATTTAAACTGTTGTTTCGTGTAGACTGGATCATTTAAACTGTTGTTTCGTGTAGACTGGATCATTTAAACCAAAGGTCATGAAAGAACTATAACAAGCAATCACTTTACCTAGCAAAAGGGGACATAACTCCTTCACCTCTATCATTTGTGTATAGAGGATATCAAATTAGTTTCAATTAATCAGAGATTTGTCTGAGCGCTTTCTTTCATTTTACAGGACCTCTGACTAGGAAAAATGAGAATTTTGTGACCAGGCTTTTTTTTTTAAATCTCATGTGAATAAGAATAAATGTAACAGTCAGGTTATCACATAACTTACTTTTATTTTAAAAACAGAATTTTACTGGACTGACACAAAATCTATATCGGCAATTATTTTCCTATGTATGTATATTTCCTTGTGACATCACAATACCTAATGCTATAAATTAATGAATTTTTTCATGTCTCTAGGCTCTTTGTTCTGCCAGGTATAAATCATACTTCTGTCTGGCTGCTCTAGCATTGGACAGTAGTTCTTTGGTAAGAGGGACAGGGGGATTCAGTTTTCTCTTCAACTTTTATATAAGGTAACTTAGTTTGTTTTTTTAAACATTCCGTCGGCGTGTGCATGTTTTAATCTTTTGGTGTGACTCCTCAACGCCGATTCCCCCATCTTTCCGAGATCTATATCTTTTGAACATCGTAAACAGTGGGCCTTACATCGATCGCCTTTCACTTCCCTTACCCAGTTGTATTGTTCATCCCCCTTCCTGTTAAAAATACAATGGTTCCTTGGCATGACTAGCATAAACCACGTTTGCTCCCTGTTTGCAGCGCGAAGCGGCCGGAAGAGTGTAGATTGCGCATCGTGTCCGCATATGTTTAAATTACCTCCCTTTACCC